AAAAAAATAAAAACACTTTAAAAAAAAAAAAAATGTTGTTAACTACGAGTATAACGGTTGTTATCCAAACGTCGGCCGGCATAAGACTGGAGAACCTGAACCTGATACACCTTCTTCAGGTTCTTGGATACTCTAAGAGGTCATCGGTCTGTGACGTGTGTAGTTTAAAGCTTTTTATTCTCATGTAAATATAAGAAAATGCATTTGTTTTTAATACAAAAAAAAGATGGCAAATCCGTCCTTTAATTCTTTTGTTTTATGTTTTTTTTTTCAATTTTAAACAAAAACATGCAACAACATCGTTTATTTATTTATTTATTAAATTAAAATAAACAATAATGATGATGATGATGATTTTGATTTATTTAAGGTTGGAAAAAGGATTACCGGATTCAAAAACGTGTTTGTTAAATCAAAAACTTCAACTTTTAAACTGTTGCATATCACGTAGAATTCAAAGAGATAAACAAGCGAGTGATAATACTGGAGAAGAATCAGAATCCGAAGGGGATGATGAATTTTTCGATTGTGATGCTGATGTCGACGAAGATGATTTTAAAAATAGGAAAGTGAAAGAAGCTTCTTCCGACAAACCGATCGGAAGATTGACTAAACACGGTAAAATTTAATAACAAACGAAAGTAAAAGTAAAAGAAAAAAATTCCCACAGGATCATCATCATTATCACATACACTCATCTTTCTCTCATTACACCTACACAATGCATAGGGTTACATAATTTCAAAACTTACTAGACTTTATATATCATTATTATTATTATTATTATTTAAAGGTGATTTGAAACTTTTAAAAACTGGAAAACCACTTTACGTCCCCATCACACAAGATTCGGTACCCAAAACGGAAGATCAGTTGGAAGAAGATACTCAGGTACTTTTAAAATTAGGTAACAACGCATTAGGTTCCGAACTTCGTGCGAGATTGTTGAGTGCGTACCTTTTATCCGACATGGAAGCATTTAAAGCTGCCAATCCGGGAGCAGTTCTTGCCGATTTTATACGTTGGTGCTCACCACGTGACTGGATAGAAGACGAATCCGGAGAACTTGATGAATACGGACAAAAAAAAGGTTTCATTTAAATTTTCAAAATTTTATTTTATTTTTTTCCATCGTTTTTAAATTTTTCATTTCAATTTTAGGTCACCTAAGCAGTAGAATGGAAATTCCCGGTAACACGTGGATAGAAGTTTGGGAGGTGGCACGACCAGTGCCGGCAAAATGGCAAAAACGTTTATTCAATGACACGAGAGAAGCGGAAAAAGTTTTAGATTATTTAGAAAGGAAAACTCCGAGCGAATTCATACAACTTTTATTACCCATAATGATAGTTTGCGTAATTCATAAATTACTGGAAGAAGATACCGGAGAACTTCCAGGAGTCGAAGAAATCTTATTAAAATTAATAAAAAAAGTCGAAAGATTGGGAAGAACTCCAAACGTTTCATCGGATCTTATAGTTGAAAAATATTTTTTTTTTTTTTTTGTATTAAAATAATTAATTAATCAACCGGAAATGATTTGAAAATTTTCTTTTTTTTTACAATATTAATTAATTAATTAATTAAATTATTTTGAATGTGTTTTGGTTCGTTGATTTTTTAGTTAATTTATATCTAAAATTCGCCGTTATTATTATTATTATTGGATTTCGTTGAACCTGATTGAAAAATTTGAAATTTTTTTTTTTTTTTTTTTTTTCTATAAATTAGGAATTGATAAATGATATAAGTTGTGCGGAAACTCTTATGGTTCATTTAAAATCGCTTAAAAGAAAATTTTCATTTACCGAAGAAGAAACGAATCCGGATGTATTGAAATTTATCATTGATTTACTCATGAATGGTGAAGCTGAGGTACCCGGTGGACCTAAATCTCAAATCGGTTTAAAAATTTGTAGTTTTTTTTCCGAAGCTCAAAAGGTAAAATTTGTCGAAGTTTTAATTTAAAAAGACGTGAGCAAACTTTTCACAACACATTGATAATTTAATTCCAGGCGGAACAATTATTTTTGGAACCTGGAAGCCCTTTGACGAATGAAAAAATGAACGTCATGTCACCATTTCCGTCACCGAACATAAAAGAAATGATATTAAGGTTGTCGACTGTGAACGGCCCCCAAAGATTACATGCAATATTAAAACAAAACGAATGTCGAATTTGTGGAGTTTTCACTAAAAATCTATATTATAATAATAATAATAATAATTCGTGTTAATACAGTAGTTTTCGGTTTGAATTTTTTGTATTTATTTTATGTTAATTGTTATTGTATTTTAAAAAATAAATTTACTTTAAATAAATCATATTTTAATTTAGTCATCCAATTTATTTATTTATTTATTTTTTTTTTTTTGTAAAGGAAAAGGCATAAATAAATGGGGAGAAAAGAGGGGGAAAAAAAATACCAACGTTCCTTTTCTCGCACGGAAATATATACGACGTTTCTGATCTATGGAATTTTACACGGATTGAAACACGTACAGATATGCCGTGATCGTCTAGTGGTTAGGACATTGCGTTGTGGCCGCAATAACCCAGGTTCGAATCCTGGTCACGGCACTCGAATTTTTTTTTTTTTTTTTTTAACGAATTTTTATTTTTTTTTGTCATAATTTAATTAAACGGATGTATTTACATTAATTTCATAGAGTAATAAATTTCCGTTAATATTTGTTTGTGTTGGATACGTTTGAAGTTTACAAATTTTTTAAAGTTTTTTTATGTAAATAATAATAATAATAATTAATTTAGTGTATTTTATTATTATTATTGTTATAAATAATAATAATAATGATTATTGTTTATAAATAAATCGTTTAGATGTATTTTTCCGATTTAAAGTGTTGTTGTTGTTGTTAATGTGCAAAAGGAAAAGCGTCCATTATTTTAATATCATTAATTGTTTCCGTTAAAAACAAAAAATTTTAATAGTTTTTAATTATTATTTTTAATTGATATAAATAAAATTACTTTGTGAGAAAAATTTTTTAAAATTGCAAAATCATTTTTTGTTTTTTTAAAGCAAATTTATTGCTTTACTTATAGGTTAAATACCTGGCTCGAATTTAATTTTTAAAATAATTTAATTATTTAAGATTTAAACATAATTTTAAATTATTTAATATTAATAACAATAAAAAGAAAATGTTTTTTTTTTTCATATTTTTTGAAATTGTCATGTTTTAAGACTGTGTGTTTATGTGTAAAATAAAATTTATTATTTTTTATATTTTTGAATTATTTTCCTTTTACCTCTTTCTATTATTTTTTTATTAATTTATTTATTTTTTAATAATTTTATTGAAATGAATGGCTTAGTTTAAAATTAACGTTTCTTATTGAGTACAAAATAAAATGAGAGTGCGTGACAAATAAAATATATATTTATTTAAATTGACCAAAGACATTTAATAAGTTGAAAGTAACTTTGATCTTCAATTTCACTTAACATTTACATTAAATCGAATAGAAAAAATTATAAAAATTATAGTTTGGTATATGTAGAATATATAATTGTTGATTATTAAATTGGAAACGATATTTTAAATAATAATGTTATAAAAAAGATTGTTGAAAGTTTTTTTTTTTTTTTTATTATCCTTTTTAAATTGTAAATTTAAAGCTAATGTATTTTAATTGCTGTCAATTATTTTATTCAGTTTAATTGGTATGATTGCCTATATTAATTTAATGATAAATGATAAATTATATTATAAGTTTAATAATCGCCATTGTTTGAACTGGTGTGAGGCTTTACAGTGTTACCAACATACAAGTTGAGAAGACTAAGATGGCGTTCAACCAAAGTTTTTCCTGTTTAAAATGTATTTCATTGTAAATAAATTATTCTTTTGATTCAGTAAAATAAATATTTTTAAAAAAAGTTTTATTAAAACATAGGTAAGCACGTTTTTAAAACTCAATTTTGTTATTTTTAACCACCAGTTTCTTTGTTTTTTTTTCTTTCTCTCTCTCTCTCTCTCTCGCTAAACTATAACAATCGCCATGATTAGATAGGCAATGGTACTGATCAATGAAGTTGAAGCCGATTGTCACTGAAATTTTTTCCACTATAATTATTTTAATTACATTTATTTAAAAAGAAAATTAAACTTTATCAATTAAACTGAACAATATTAACTGAATTTGAATTTTGCCTGTGTTAGGTCAAGGCCTTCATATAGGAAGAATCATTTTTAAATTCCTTTATTTTTTACATTTAAATGGAGTATTAATAATAAAAAAGTTATCGATTCTAATGAGAATTTTAATAAAATTATTTTTTTTATTATTCCTTTAGATAATACATAGCACAAGGTTTAAATCATGATGGCCGCTGCAGTGCAAAAGAACGGTGTTCAAGCACTAGCTAATGGTAGTCATCATTTAGAAATGAATTCTGTGGACTGTGTTTCTAGTTCAGTAACAGAAACTGAAACTCAAGAAAAACATTTAGAGGAAGAACCTGCACCTGAAATTGACATAGTTATCAATAATGTTGTGTGTAGCTTCAGTGTTCGTTGTCACCTGAATTTGAAAGAAATAGCTACTCATGGTGCTAACGTTGAGTATAGAAAAGAAAATGGAGTAAGTAATACTTTTTTCGTTTTGGATAATAATACATTGTTCAATTAGTTTTATTTCAACCGATTGTGTCATTTAAATACCCACAACCGACAACAATAGCATTACACATTTCAAGTAATTTCCTTTAAGAAATTAACACCAGTTTACAAAAAACTTTAATTTTTAATTATATTTAAAAGGTTACCTGCTCATTACACATTGTAAAAAATTATTCTTTATTCAAATTGAAAGAAATTTTGCAATACTTTTTTTTTTTTAAATATATTCGCAAACCCGTTTACACAATTTAATAATTAAACAAAATGTTTTTGAACTTGTCAATTTTTATTATTTTGCCAAAAGAGAACTTTTGCATTAAAATTTATTTATTTTATTCCCAGTAGAATTGAAATGATATTTAAATTTTAAAAAATCATCACGATTTAAATTTACATGAAGTTTAGTAATTTTTTTTTTAACTTTAAGTTACTACATTTTCATAATTGTTTATAATAATTTAATTGAAATTTTTATCCAATTGTTTAATATTTTGTTGTCCATTGTAAATCAATTAAATATTTCAAAATTCAATTCAATAATATTTATATATCAAAAGTTTAATTGGCACATAAGAGAAACCATTTTATTTTATTATTATATATATATCTTTTGTTAAAACATTTATCGATTGGTTTACTTTGTTTAATAGGACAAAACTACATTATAATTATTATTATTATTATTATGAAATACAAAAGATATTAATTTTATTTATAAAACTATGATTTTAATTATTGACTGTTCTAAATAGACAAATATTAAATTACATTTGAAAATAATACAGTTTAAAAAAAAAAAAATTATTATTATTATTAATAGAGTGTTAAATAGAACACTAATTTTTTTTTTTTTTTAATAACAATTTAAAAAAAGTGAAAATTAATTTTAAAATTTATTTATAAAAAAAATCGTACACACATGAATGAAAATTTAATTGACTTATATGTGAAGCCATTATTATTTATTAAATTTATTAAATAATTATTGTACCTTTCAAAAACTATCACGCCACGCCATACGATTTTTTAGTACTCATTATAATTTTATTTTTTTTTTATAAATAAATGTTGGTTGGAGTTTTGAGATTTTTTCATAAAAATTTTGGTTGATTGATTGAGTGATTGATTGTTAAAAAGAATTTCCTCGTTTTTTTTTTTTTTTTTTTTTTTTTTGATATGAGATTGAACAATAACAAAGGAATGCGTCATATTCGTGAATCCGTCGTTTCCTAGGAGGAAGTATATCGAAATTTTTTTTTTTTTTTTACCCAGCA